ATTTATTGTAGAGATGAGGTCTCGCTGCCTAGGCGGGTCTCGAACCCGCGGGCTCAGGCAATCCACTCACCTCAGCCTCCCAAAGGTGCGGGATTACAGGCTGAGCCACCGAGCCCGGCTGCCTTTCTTTTTTTCTGAGTTGGAGTTTCACTCTGTCATCTAGGCTAGAATGCAGTGGCACACTCATAACCACCACAGCCTCGATCTGCTGGGTTTATGTGATCCTTCCACCTCAGCCTTCCAAGTAACTGGAGCTACAGGCACATGCTACCACACCCGGTTTATGCCTATGTGCCTTTCTTTAGCACTTTCCACAGTTGCCATTTGATATTTGTTTGAGTCATGATTTCTTGACTCACCACTACTGACATTTGGGGACAGGTTGTTCTTTGATGTGGGAGGCAGTCTTATGCATTGAGGGATATTTAGCCCACCCCTGGTCTCTACACACTAGATGCCAGTAGTACTTCACCAATTGTGACAACTAAAATGTCCCTTTGAGGGCAGAATTCTCCTGTTCTTGATTGCTGGTTTGTGTGACCATTTGATGAATGTTTTCTTCCTCACTGGATTGTTCCCTCCAGAAGAGCAGGAAATAATGCTTTTATTTACCACTCTCACAGCATCAAGCTCAGTGCTTGAATTCTAATTATACTCATTATTTATTTATTACAAATGAATAGAATTATATGTCGGGAATTATATGGTATGTGAGTTATATCTCAATAAAGCTGTTTAGAAAATTTAATCCTGTATAGAAATAATTTGGAATGGTAACATCAGTTATTTTTGAGTGATACTATAGAGGATTTAGCATTCTTACTTTTCCTTTTCTATATTTTCTTGAGTACTACTTCACAACCCTATTTCTGCACCCAAGCATGTTAAATTTGTCGCCATGCTTCCTAGCAGTGACAGTGGCTTACTGTGCCAGTGATCCTCAGGAGTCCATGTAATAAGATTTCAGGGTGTGGGTTATTGGTGGTTTATACAAGATTTTTTTTTTTTACAGAAATTTTAAGATGCTGCATATAGCCAGGCTCAGTGGCTCAGCCTGTAATCCCGTGCTTTGGGAGGCTGAGGTGAGTGAATTGCCTGAGCTCGCGGATTCAAGACCCGCCTGGCCAACTTGGCGAGACCTCATCTCCACAATAAATCAAAAATGAGCCGGGTGTGGTAGCACGCACCTGTAGTTCCAGCTACTTGGAAGGCTGAGGCGGAAGGATCACTGGAGCCCAGCAGGTCGAGGCTGCGGTGGCCAGGAGCGGCCACTCCAGTCTGGGTGACAGAGTGAGACTCCAACTAAAAAAAAAAAAAAAGAAAAAATGCTGCATATAGATTTGAGAGAATTTACTTCCTGTGAAATGGGTTAGGTTCATTCCAATCTACTTTCCTCATGCTTAATATACCCAATGGGGCCAGCTTTCTCTCCAGATTACTAGTTTTTAGCTTCAGGCATGGAAGAAGGAATGGGATGTTTAAAAAGCAACTTTGAAGGAGGTTGTTCCTGCCCTCACCTGCTTGACATTTCTGCAGGTTTCATGAAATAGCCCATACAGTTCTTGGAAAGAACACCAGTGATCAGGAAGCTGGGTTTAGCTCCTGCTACTGACCCCTGTGTGACTTTCGGCAAATCCTTTACCTTCTTCTTTTTTCTTTCTTTTTTTTTTTTTAGTTCCTTCTATCTCCCAGACTGGAGTGCAGTGGCATGCTCACAGCCACCCAGCATCCACCTGCTGGGCTCAGTTGAATGTTCTGTCTCAGCCTTCCAAGTAGCTGAATCTACAGTCACGTGTTACCATGCCTGGCTAGTTTTTTGATTTATTGTGGAGATGAGGTCTCACCAAGTTGCCCAGGCTGGTCTCGAACTCCTGGGCTCAGGCAATCCTCTCACCTTGGCCTCCCAGAGTACTGGGATTACAGACTTAAACCACTGTGCCCAGCCCTTTACCTTCTTAATCCCAGTTTTCTTCATCTACAAAATGAGAGATTGAATAAACAGTGGAGTCCCTTCTTTGTGTCAGATATGTGATCTTTAATTTCTGGCTTTCAATTCCTCTACTTCCTTTCACTTTTTTGTTGTTGTTGTTTGTTTTGTTTTTGTTTTTGTTTTGATACTTCTTTTTTCTCTACTTAACTAAACAGTATGTCCAGCCAGCTCCTGGGCTCAGGTCTTTTCTCCTTTCTCCTTGGAATGCTGTCCTAGTCCAGGAAAGAAAGACTACCTTACCCTCCTTATATGTCACCCAGGCTGTAGTGCAGTGGCACGATCTCGGCCACCACAGCCTCAACCTCCTGTGCTCAGGGAGTCCTCTGCTTCAGCCTTCCAAGTAGTTGGAACTACAGGTGCTCACCACCACGCCTGGCTAAATTTTTTTTTTTTTTTACTTGGAGTCTCACTCTGTCGCCCAAATTGGAGTGCAGTGGCATGCTCCCGGCCACCATAGCCTCGACCTGCTGGGCTCCAGCGATCCTTCTGCCTCAGCCTTCCAAGTAGCCGGAACTACAGGCGTGCACTACCATACCCCGCTAATTTTTGATATATTGTAGAGACGAGGTCTCGCCAAGTTGCCTGGGTGGGTCTCAAACCTGTGGGCTCAGGCAGTCCACTCACCTGAGCCACTGAGCCCGGCCTAATTTTTTGATTTGTTGTAGAGACAGGGTATTTCCATGTTGCCCAGGCTGGTCTTGAACCCCTAGGCTTAGGCAATCATCTCAACCTCAGCCTCTCAAAATGCTGAGGTAACAGGCATAAGCCAATGTGCCTGGCTCACTCAGTATTTCTTTTTTTTTTTTTCTGAGTTGGAGTCTCACTTTGTTGCCCAGTCTGGAGTGCAGTGGCACATTCCCTGCCACTGTGGCTTCAACTTGCTGGACCCTGGTGATTCTTCCACCTCAGTCGTCCATGTAGCTGGAACTACAGGCGCGTGCTACCATGCCCAACTAATTTTTTATTTATTGTGGAAACAACGTCTCACAAAGTTGCCTGGGCTGGTCTCAAACCTGTGGGCTCGGGCAATCCACTTGCCCTGGCCTCCCAAAGTGCTGGGATTACAGGCTGAGCCACCAAACCTGGCCTCACTCAGCATTTCTAAGTAGACCCTATGTATAAGCCTTTTTTGGCAAGAAAGAATACTTACAGCTAAGAGATAGTCTCAACTATAATTGTAATCTCTACTTAGAAATAAGTCTGCCATGTTTCAAATGTATTTAAAAAGTTGGTTATGACATTTTTGCACCTTATTTTCTGAAATCTGTATATTCACATATATATTTCTGGGGGATTTTTAGGGTTCTTCATGAACATATCCAGAGATTGTCTAAAGTAGTGACTGCAAATCACAGAGCTCTTCAGATACCAGAGGTAATACAGATTTATATAGCATGGGTGATATTAACTAAATGCTACATGGTATACTGTATGATGTTACAACTTTTTTAAGGAACTGGAATTTGATAAAATATAAAACACCATTTGCACTACATGTAATTCAGTTTAACTGCAGCATCCCTCAAGGGCTTCTGGGGGTTAAAATTCCCTGATATGGAAAGGGACTTCAGTATTGGAGAGAAGAGAGAGCCAGCAAGAAGGAGTCCCTCCCTGCTGGGACAGGCAGGTATCTTGTCCCAGCCTTGCTCTCCTGGGGAAGTATTCTCCTTCAGTGATTTTATGGTCAAGGTCTGCAAAACCATCCTCTTTGAAGAAGGGGTTGGTAGCACTCCAGAGGGTATGAGAACTATTCCAGGAGAGGTAATTGAATCTGAATGTGACCTCAGATTATCTTTTATTATTCATACTGGCTTTTTTACCTGTCATATATTTCTTATAAAACAAAAACCACAAAAATTTTGGGTGTTTGAGCTTTCTGGTTGTTTTTGCTAAAACCCCCACTAATGGAACATTAATTAACACAAAATTTTTAACTGTGTTGATTTTTAAAAATCTGTTATTTCTAGAAATACTCTAGCAAGGGTACTTTTTTGTCTATGTGTGCGTGTTAGGGTTTTACTCTGTTGCCCAGACTTGGAGTGCAGTGGCATGTCATGGTTCACTGCAGCCTCTACCTCGTGGGCTCAGGCAATCCTTCCGCCTCAGCCTCCTAAGTAGCTGGGACTACAGGCATGCACAACCATGCCCAACTAATTTTTAATTTATTTAATAGTGGTGAGGTCTCATTTGTTGCCCAGGATGGTCTCTTGGGTTCAAGCAATCCTTTCACCTTAGCCTCCCAAAGTTCTGGGATTACAGGTGTGAGCCACCTCACTTGACTCATATTTTTAAATTAAGCTCTTTTAGTATCTTGTTTGACTTTTGTAATTAATTAATGTAGAGAAGTTCTAGTCTACTTATTTAAAAAAGAGAATTGTTTAAAATTTTATGAATTCTGGATTCTGTTGTTATGTGCCTTTTTTCTGTTAATTGCTATATTTAAAAATGCATAACAAATTATTTAAAAGTTTAAAGGTTAAGCTGCAATCTTGGGTGGAGGGGAAAGGAACCACGATATAGTTTTACTGAAGAAAGGAAAAAGCAACCACCTTGCCCTCTACCCCCTGACATGGAGGTTGCAGTGGTCACTGCCTGGGGTTGCTGCAGAATTCAGAATTTGTATATTGTCTGTGGTTTCACTTAGGTTTATCTTCGGGAGGCGCCATGGCCATCTGCACAATCAGAAATCAGAACAATAAGTGCTTACAAAACCCCCCGGGACAAAGTGCAGTGCATCCTGAGAATGTGCTCTACGATTATGAACCTCTTGAGCCTGGCCAATGAGGACTCTGTCCCTGGAGCAGATGACTTTGTTCCCGTGTTGGTGTTTGTGTTAATAAAGGTGGGCTCCTTACTATTATCAGTTAAGGAGTTATGTGGCATTCTGAACAGTGTGGCACAGGGCTTCAAATGACAGTAGAGACCTTGGCTTTTTTCCGAGTCTCAAGCTCTGTGTTATCCAGAAAGAAAGTACCTCATGTCAAGATTTGTTTTTAAGTTAGGATTTTCAAAATAAAAGATGGGAAGACTAGATTCCTAGGTGAACATTTTCCATTTTTAAAGCAGTGCCTGAAGTTCTTGATTGGGGGCTCAGTATATAATTATTGGATGAATGGATGAGGGCAGTTCTTTTGATTATGCCTTTACTATCTTTCACACTGAATTCTTTACCATACTTGTCATATAGGCCACCAAATTTGTCAATCATCTCACCCCCTTTCAGCCTCTTATTTTGTAATTGTAGTATAAAATTACTGACATCTCTTGTCTTTCTTTGACTATAAAGTTTCATTTAAATGATTTCTTTTGAACATTTTGGGGGTGACCACGCATTTAGGGTACACACAGTTACTACGCAACTACATCACTTGTGTGTTTTATTTAGCACAGCCCACTGTTGCTGTCTGAAGAGATATGCTATTTGACATATATCTTACTAGCTTTAGTGTTTGTGATATTTCTGCAACCTGAACTCCTAGCTTAGAGTTGGAAGCCCACAGGATTGGCCACCACAGCTTCTCCTTTTGGCAGTTGCTCTTCTCTCCTCCACACACAATGAATCTAATCCCTCTGTAGAGCCAGTTAAGCTAGTTTTAGGGAAAAGGCCTTAACTTGTCCTCTTAACCATTTAACAAACTGTGTTCTTTCTCTCCACGTGAAGAAGGTGAAAAAATGAGATGTTTTTGAAGCAGAGGGGATATTATCTTTTTTAGTTTTTTCTTTCTCAGCTGATTCTACTCAGACTTGCCAGCTGTAACCCAATTTGTCTACAGCATTTATTTCCTTACCTAGCATTCTGGAAACCTGGAATCTTGAATAAGAGGACTGGGATTAGTTCAACCTCCTTAGGGTGAGGTTAAGTGAACTCTAGATAGTTCAGCTAGGATTAGAACCTGGATTGCCTTTCCCACATACTGTTGCTACTCTAAAAAATCATTTTGGGATTATTTTCAAATAGACTGGTATCTCTTTCACAGAAAACCATTTGCAGAACACATAAATGATTTTGGCAGAGCCATATATCTAAGTAATCGACTCTTATTTTTCAATTCTCTAGGCAAATCCACCTTGTTTGTTGTCCACTGTTCAGTATATCAGTAGCTTTTATGCCAACTGCCTGTCTGGTGAGGAGTCCTATTGGTGGATGCAGTTCACAGCAGCCGTGGAATTCATCAAAACCATCGATGACCGAAAGTGATCAAGACCAAGGCCCACCAAAGCAGCAGACTGTTAGTCAGGCAAACAGATCTCTAAGAAAGTGTACCAGCTGCTTTGAAGGCTGAAGATTGTTTTTGTATAATAATGTACAGCATTCAGACATTTTAAAACAGATCTTTACTAAACAGAGTAATGAGCTAACAAGCAGGTTCTCTTTTCATTGGGCTCTTTCCTTTCTGAGTTGCATATTTTATTTTATTGTTCCCAAGTAGAGATTAGCACTGCAAAAAGGGACCATGTTTTTCAGGTATTTTTAAATGTTAAAAAACAGAACAAATCTCTTAGAAAATTTCTAGATCTCCATTCATGGGTACCCATTCTTTCTTTTTATTTTCAAAAAACAGTACCCCTCTTTTAAGATGCTGTCTTTATACGCATCTAATGGAAGGAAAATGCAAGTTGCACTGAGGATTATAATAGTGGTGCATTAGTGGCATTATCTATAAATACACTCACCTCAATCAGAAAACTAAGAAGGAAATGTAAATATCATATATATTTATATTTGATGTAATATGGACATCTTCAGATTCTAATAATAAACAAGGACTATTACTGATAGTAGGCTGTGACACACCCTCTTGTGAAATGGTTTCCTTGACAAAATTTAAGCTGAGCTTAAAAGCAAAAAACAAAAAATACACAGAAATATTTATTAAAGTATAATACAGTTTATTGAACTTTCTAGGTGTGGCATTTGATGCACAGGGCTGCCTTTGATGAGGAGTATGAAAGTCACTAAGTCACTTATACACTTTTCACCATGGAAGTTTGTGAGCCTGTATGTAGGAGATAGACTCTAATTACTCTATGTTAATTACATAAAAAGGAACAGTAGATATCTAATACCTTATGGTGGTACTTCTCATCTGAAATACTAAATATACTGTAGAAACCCCAGACAGAGCTCCTTACAAATCTTTAATTGTAATATATTTTTGATGATTATTCACATTGAATGCACAGACCAGGAATTCAGTGAATGTCATTTTTTTAAAAACTAATTTGTATTGTCTGCTCTAGTGATACAAGTTTTACTAGTGATAAACTATTTTAATCAAACATACTATTCTTATGGAAAAAAAATCTATTTTGGCAGGTTTCTGTGCCTTTTTTTCTCTCTTCTGAAAACAAGTCTGTGTTTTAGTAGTTTGGTTTTCGTTGTATATCAATAATTAATCAGGAAAGGGTTTTGGTGCCTGAGAAAACTGACCAACAAGGCACATAAAGCTTCAAGCACAAGTCTTGTACATAGGCCATCACTGACTGGTTTTACTTTGTATGTTTTCTAAATATGTTTTGTTTCTTTTATAACAAACTCAGTCCCATACTTGGAGTCCCTTGTTGTTGGCAGCCTTTCCAGGCATTTCTTAAGAGGACTGTGACAGACAGTCTTGTGCAGATACTTACAAAGGCTATCTACTCCCAGTCTCTAAGATCTCCATGTTTCATAATGCCTGAAGAAGCTACATTTTCTTTATGCCCACCTCTTCATTCATTTACTTTAAAATACCAGAATTGCATAGGAGTGTGGGTTGTGGTTCCTCGCTTCTAGGGAAGGTTCAAAATTAAACTAGTACACAAAATGTCCTTTTGAATGTTAGGTCAAGAAATCCATGAGAGAGTCATGTGCTTCATGGGCCGTAACTGTCAAACTTGCATAGGTATTAGAAATCAAATCCCTTCATGAATACATTACAAGACAAACTGTGATTTCTGCCACCTAGGTGGGAGTCCATTTACTTCAGCATTTATTCAATAAATGTTAAGCAACAGAACACTTGGTATAGTTGAAATTCATTGTTATGGGATTTAACTCGTAAATCAATGAAATTTTTTTTTCCTCACAATGGTTGCTAAATCTCTTCCATGTTACCACTGTGGAAATAAATATGAAGATGTGGATATTGCATCAGAGATCTTTTCTGTGGAAGAGATGGTGGTGAATTTGGGGTAAAGAGCTACACTAGCGGTAGGAGATAGGGTTTTGTGGTGCTTGAGCCAGTGATGAGGGTAGAACCCCAGAGATTTGACCTCAGAGACACCTCTGAGACAGATTTGGGTGCTCACGACTCATGCTGGTAGAGACGAACAGCCTTGCTGTTGGAGGGGCAGCTAGGTTTCCCTCTCATATCCTGTCAGGAGCAAGGACTGCTTCAGCATTAATCATCACTAGTGTGATCTCTTGACAAGATTTCTTATAGTGTTGATTCCTAGATTTAGGAATTAGTCACTGTCTGTATAGCAGTGTTGGGTTGTGAGACGGAGTGATTTGATTGTGTTTTTTTTTCAGGAAAGAACAGTTCCTCAAATGTTTCTTACAATTCTGCCTTCAATACTTGTTTTACATGAAGGATTAGTATAAAAGTATAAAATCACCCCTTGGAAACATTTAGTAGCCAACAATTATTACATAAAATTTACAAAGTTAATCAACATTAAATGGAGAGATAGTGGCTCAGCTTACTGAAATCTTGTAGAATTAACTTTTCTGAGGAAAAGAAAAATCAGTTTGTATTTTGTATTAATACTCTGTTTCTGGAAGTATTAGAAATACAGATTGATGATTGTCTTTCCTTGTAAAATTATTATTTTTAAACCTGGTTAATGTTTTCTTTCTCCACTTTAGATAAAATCTCAGCCACAGTAATTACTTTCTTCTGCTTTTTTTCTTTGTAAAAACCTGCTTATGAAAGCCTTTTTATACAGATAATTAAATTGCTGTAGTAAGAGAATTAGGCTTTCTGAGGAATTGCAAATAGATGTGATGCATGGTTTTTCTTTTCCTGTTGTGTCCTGGAAGCCTTTGAAGTGGACTTTACAAATAGTGTTACTTAGGTGCATAAGCAGGAAACAGAGCCCAGCCCAACCAGTAAGGAGGCTGTGTTCTTGCCCTAAAAGTCTGTTGCTGACCGCATGTGCCAAACTGGGGCACCATTTTCCTATTGCTGCCATGGGAATATCAGTGTGGGCCAGGTAAAGGTCAGCTGGGAGTTATAAATGTGTGAGGGTTAGCATTTTCTTTCTGATGTGATTGGGTGTGAAGAGGGAAAGTAGGAACACACTTGCTCAAAATTATTAGCAGATTGCACAGACATGGTAAAAATGTAGTGGAGTTAGCTTCCTCAGTTATTGCATCCTAGACTTTCTCTTCCTGCCTCTACTACTTTGTTTCTTTAAAGAAAAGCCCATGTTTTTCCTCTTTTTAATTCTTTTAAGTCTAGTGAGTTTATTCCATTTGTAATGGCTATAATTTTGGGTGAAAAAAATCCAAAACAATATTCTTGAAGTTCAAAGGATTTTGAGTAATTGGATTAACAGTGATGAGATATTTGAGATACTCAGAATGTCAAAATGCTTGAGAACTTTGCTATTAATACTTAATATATTTTAGAATGTCGGTTACCCAAGAAGTAGGATGACCAGAAATAGCTTTACTCTTGAGAAAACTTGGAGAAATGAAGATATAGGTTGCTTCAGAGTTAAGGTTGTGGTTGAGCTGTGGAGCCACCATGGAGATGCTGTGTCCCACAGGCCTGAAAGAGAGAGAGAGAGAAAGTTAGTTTTCTCCCCCTAGGTCATGGTAGAATGTGTGGGCAGGAGCCATACACCATAAAAATTCATCTCTGTCAATATTCTGTCTTGTCTGCCACATTCTTCTTGTGCTTCACCTGTATTGAAAAGCTTTGTACTGCCTCTTCTCTTGAAACTGATAAAAAAACTTTACATAAGCCTCAATGAATGAGCTTGCACAATCTTGTATGTGTTCAGGAAACCTGTCCTGTCTCCTAATGTGATTAGTAATGTAAAATATTTTGTAAAACTGATTAAAAAGGGAGAGCAGTTTGATTCACTGGGCTTTATGTTTCCATCATCTATTTTCTGTTCAGAAGCACTTCTGAAAATTTACTTGACTTCTGAATGTTCCTGATGCTCTCCATGAATTTACACTCATCTTTTTATCTGAACATCAAAAGGTATTTGCTACGTGTGATAAAGGAAGGAACTAGAATGACCCAACAATAACTAGTGAGATGGTGAATATATACAGTTGTAACACAGTTTCTGTCTGACCCCTACATTTGGTAGCTATTAGTCAGCCTTAGTTCTAAATGCAAGTGTTAGCATTTAGTTACAATATTCACGGAGGCCTTAATCTGAGGCCTTAATCTATGTTTTCAGCGGTGGAAGTTGCTATTAGACAAGGAAGTTATTATCAGACCCAGAGCGCTTGATCTCTTCAGGGAGCTCTCAGTCTCTTCAGGCTTCCTTCACTGCTGAAAAGATGTTTTTCCTATATTGGTTACACTTCAGTTAGAAGGAAACAGTTCAAAACTTGCCTAAGGCTCAGTGTTCATTCACTGTTCAGTATTAAAATGAGTGCTTTGACTTGCCTAGAACTGAAAATAGCATTCATCTTCCTCGCCAATTTGGAAGTACCTGTGTCAGCTGGGCTCCTGATAAGTTTATACCCACTCAACCCTTTCCCAAGTACATGGCTCTACCTTTCCCCCCAAAGGATGCTGAGCTGCTGACAGTGCCTTGCTAGGGCTCCCTGCAGTGCGGCTGCAGAGTGGGTGGTAAGTCCACTGGGAGACCAGGGATCCCCTCGGTGTCCTCAACCTCAAGATGGAAGTGTAGCTGGGCTCGGTGGCTCAGCCTGTAATCCCACGCCTTTGGGAGGCTGAGGTG